TATTTCTAAATTACAACCTATGCTCTCAATGTAAAATGCAGAAATGTTAATTCATACATTCATGACCTCAAGGTTAGATTATTGTAATGCTTTATTGGGCTCTGTGCTCTTAATAAACAAACTCCAGCTGGTCCAAAATGCAGCAGATAGAGTTCTTACTATAACCAGGAAGTATGACCATATTAGCCCGGTTGTGTCAACTCTGCACTGGCTCCCTATTGAACATCGTATACATTTTAAAATCTTGCTAATTACTTATAAAGCCCTGAATGGTTTAGCTCCTCAGTACTTGAGCGAGCTCATATTGCATTATAGTCCTTCATGCCCGCTGCATTCTCAAAACTCTGGCCATTTGATAATACCTAGAATTTCAAGATCAACTGCGGATGGTAGATCCTTTTCCTATTTAGCGCCCTAACTCTTGAATTATCTACCTAACGTTATTTGGGAGTGGTTTGATTAAAGACCCATTTCTTTAACCTGGCATACACATAACACACTATCACATTTCTATAATTCAAATCCATTAAAGGATTGTAAGGCTGCATTAATTAGGTCAACTGGAACCGGGAACACTTCTCATAACACCTGATGTACTCGTTACATCATAAGAAGAATGGTATACGCGAATATTAGTCTGTTTCATTCTGATTCTGAAGTCACCGTAGCCACCCAGATCCAGTCCGTATCCAGTCCAGATGGTTGATCAGCACAGAGATGACCTCTACAGCCCTGAATGTCAGTGGAGACCATGTCAACTAGATGCACCCCAGAGACAGATCCCCTGCGAAGACCTCGTCAACTAGACAGCCATCGGGACAAGACCACGGGAACCAGACAAGTCCTCTGCACAATCTGATCTGTGTTGCAGCCTGGAATTAAACCATGCCATGCTGGTTCCATCTGGCCAGAGGAGAACTGGCTCCCCGACTGAGCCTGGTTTCTCCCAAGGTTTTTTTCTCCATTTCTGTCACTGATGGAGTTTTGGTTCCTTGCCACTGTCGCCTTTGGCTTGCTTAGTTGGGGATGCTTAATTTCTGGCGATATTGTCAGCTTGATCGCACAGACACTATTGGAAGAGAGCTGAACTGGATGATGATGACATCATTGTATAATCAATGAAGTGACTTTAACTGAAAAATTGACTGTTTGTTATTGCCCTCTTGCATTATTGACAAACTATTTTCTTGTTTGACACTGTAAAGATGCTTTGACACAGTCTGTATTGTATGAAGCTCTAATAAAAAAAATTAAGACTAAGACACCTTTAAAATCTATATTTTTCTGCATTTTAAGGCAGTGAGATCATGATCTTTACTGGGGACACAAAGGGCACCAAATACTAAAAAGAAGAATGAGTTTTTTTTATATATAGTATAATGAAGTATAATGAATCAACACTAGAGAGGATAATACAGTTTCAGTGAAATAAGTGCTACAGTAGTTTCAATTAGAGTTTCAATTTGACATTTGGCAAGTAAGGAACCAAAACTCCTCCAGGATGATAGTAGTGATGAAAAAAAAAAAACTTGAGAGGAACCATTCTTCACCGGTGTTGGGTATTTAATACAATTGCTCTTCCCTTTCTTCTACATTCTGTATACCATCTGCATTTCTAACACATTTCACACTGAAAACAAATTGTTTAAACTTCCCGAGGTCCTAAAAAACCTCCACCAGCAGATACTAGAACGGGGGCTATTATAGATAGTGCAAAGTAGGTGCCCTTAGGCTGTAAATATTAAAAAATGGCACCAGTCTATTCTAAATAGGGTTTTATATACAGTATAAGAACATCTCAACTGTTGTCACGACCTATAAAAGAAGGGACCTGGCAGTCAGTGTTCAGAAGGTCATTTGTCAATGGCACGCAAGACCACCATCTTCACCTACAATATTATTTTTGGCTTGTAGGTGGGGGAGCAATGATGTTGGCTGGGTGCTAGAAAATGTCTTGTAGAAATTGTTAGAAAGATTCATTCACACATCAATGAAGTGACTTTAACTGAAAAATTGACTGTTTGTTATTGCCCTCTTGCATTATTGACAAACTATTTTCTTGTTTGACACTGTAAAGCTGCTTTGACACAGTCTGTATTGTATTAAGCGCTAATAAAAAAAATTAAGACTAAGACACCTTTAAAATCTATATTGTTCTGCATTTTAAGGCAGTGAGTTCATGATCTTTACTGGGGACACAAAGAGCACCAAATACAAAAAAAAGTATAATGAATCAACACTAGAGAGGATAATACAGTTTCAGTGAAATAAGTGCTACAGTAGTTTCAATTAGAGTTTCAATTTGACATTTGGCAAGGAAGGAACCAAAACTCCTCCAGGACGATAGTAGAAAAAAAAAACTTGAGAGGAACCAGTCTTCACCGGTGTTGGGTATTTAATACAATTGCTCTTCCCTTTCTTCTACATTCTGTATACCATCTGCATTTCTAACACATTTCACACTGAAAACAAATTATTTAAACTTCCCGAGGTCCTAAAAAACCTCCACCAGCAGATACTAGAACGGGGGCTATTATAGATAGTGTAAAGTAGGTGCCCTTAGGCTGTAAATATAAAAAAATGGCACCAGTCTATTCTAAATAGGGTTTTATATACAGTATAAGAACATCTCAACTGTCGTTTGCATTTATATAGTTTTGTTCAATTCGGTACGCTTTGCAAATTTTAACACAAATTACGATAAAGAGTCGAGGCTGAACGTTTTTGTGCTCCGTGTGCAACGCCGTACTACACAGGCATTAGTAATCAAACACATAGAGCATCGTAACAGACCAAATTAATAGAGCAAAAATCGCCTATTCCAGTGGTTCCCAAACTGGGGGGTGCGGAGCTATGGCAAGGGGGGCACGGCAAGGCTGAGGGATAGTGTACAGTCAGCAGATTTTTTTTTTTAAAGAAACCTCTGCAGGGTGATAAAGACTAGGCTACACTGCGTAATTTTGCCGCTTATCATACGGTCACTTGTCTGATAAGTAAATAGAGCGCAAAATATTAATTTGACATTTTAATTACCTCAACATGACTCGCAGTACCTGCTTGAGTGCTCCGTTGTAGCAATTGTGGTTGTATCAATAACAGACCACTAGATGGCGATATTGAAGGATCAGAGTTGTATTGCAGGCAGACATGTAGAAATATAAATGAACGATGTATGGTTCTGCTCTAAGCATAAAAGTGACCAGTTTGTGAAAGTACTTCCAGTGCCAGGTAAACATAAAGCAGATTATGAATATACTTAAGATTCACAAATACCAAAACAACGTGTCTACACCAGACGCGAGCGGCGCGATGTGACAAAAGCAAATATAGCCCAGTGATGTTCTCTGCTGTGGATGCGGCACGACACGACACATCCATGACAGTAAACTGATTGCGCGTTCTATTCCTGACGAACTCCAGCGCTCTGACACAAAGGACCAGTTCAAATATTCACAAGAGAATCGTGAAAAAATTGTTTCCTCAAAAATATTAAAAAGGTGGTTCACGATTTCACTTTTTTAATGGTAGGTAGTGTCTAATGTTGCTGTTTGAGCATAAACAATATCTGCAAAGTTACGAAGCTGAAAGTTCAATGCAAATGGAGATATTGTCTTTTACAATTCTGGCAGTTTAATGCCTACAAAAACGACTGGTAAGGACTACAACAAGTTACTTCCCGGGTTTGTGACGTAACAAACCCAGATAACACCGCCCTCGGGAAAAGGCAGCAAAGGGGGCGAGGCCATGCTGTACTGCTTTAGAGAAGAGGAAGAGAAAACTAGAGGTGCACGTAAAAATCTATTCATATATGATTTGCGATTCTGTCTTTAATGATTCTAATGGATTCACAAGTTTCAAAATCAATGTTCTAAAGCAGCGTAACCCAGTGATGTTCTCTGCTGTGGATGCGGCACGACACGACACATCCATGACAGTAAACTGATTGCGCGTTCTATTCCTGACGAACTCCAGCGCTCTGACACAAAGGACCAGTTCAAATATTCACAAGAGAATCGTGAAAAAATTGTTTCCTCAAAAATATTAAAGAGGTGGTTCACGATTTAACTTTTTTAATGGTAGGTAGTGTCTAATGTTGCTGTTTGAGCATAAACAATATCTGCAAAGTTACGAAGCTGAAAGTTCAATGCAAATGGAGATATTGTCTTTTAAAATTCTGGCAGTTTAATGCCTACAAAAACGACTGGTAAGGACTACAACAAGTTACTTCCCGGGTTTGTGACGTAACAAACCCAGATAACACCGCCCTCGGGAAAAGGCAGCAAAGGGGGCGAGGCCATGCTGTACTGCTTTAGAGAAGAGGAAGAGAAAACTAGAGGTGCACGTAAAAATCTATTCATATATGATTTGCGATTCTGTCTTTAATGATTCTAATGGATTCACAAGTTTCAAAATCAATGTTCTAAAGCAGCGGTTCTTAATACTGTTCCTCGCGTCCCCCTGCTCTGCACACACTCTGCATCTCTCTCTCTCTCTCTCTCTCTCTCATTCAGCTCAGCTCCAACAATGAACTGTTCCAATTATACACTTATTTTCACATAGATAATATTGAAATAATATTGAATATTGAAAATATTTTTCTTTACAAAAGGGGGGCCAAGTTTGAGAACCACTGGCCAACTCAAACACACAATATTTGATTGAATTTAATTCATACAGGCCTACCTCATGTTGCATGTTTGCACTTTTTGAGAAAAACAATGGCACAATAAAAAAAAGACTTTTCAGGTCTATGTCCAATCCCTCACTTTTTCTAGTTATATAAAGTTTAAAAAATGTTCCTGTAATTTTTTTCTCATATCGCAATATAATATCGATATCGTCTGGATCGTGATATGAATTTTAGATCATATCGCCCACTCCTATTTCCTCTGATGCTTCCAAGAATATCAAGTCATTCTTGCCATTATTCTTGTCACTTGCAATAGTTGGTTAAATGAGAAAAAGCAACAAGTAAAAATTATTGATCTCTAATTTTTTTAATGTCTTTTTTATCATTGGTTTCCGAGGATGAAATAGGTGGTTCTAACATAAACATTTATTTTCCTTTACAGGCTGTAACAAAGATGGTACAGGAATGTTATACATATGTTGATGCTATGAGTGACCTGTCAATCAAACTCCGACTCATTGACACGCTACGCACCGTCACTGCTGGAAAGGTCTCCACTTGCACTCTTTTTAGCTTAATCTGTTTACCAGATCTATTTCTTATGAGCTCGCTCATTCTTCTGATGCAATAATCAGCTTTACACTTTATTTACACGTTGCATATCAATGTTTTTGTAGATATATGTGGAGATTGAGCGTGCTAGGCTGACTAAAACATTGGCCCAAATCAAAGAGCAAAATGGAGATGTGAAAGAGGCTGCATCCATTCTGCAGGAACTGCAGGTGAGTGTTAACGAGATCTGCCTCGTCATTGTGCTCTTAAGGCCTATTCAAATGAAATGTGAATATTCATTATGAACATTTCTGATGTTCTTTTTCAGGTTTAATTAATATTTTTCATCTAATATTTATATTTGATTTCATTTAAACTATATCTCATTTAAAAATGATTTTGAATAGTTTTAGCTTTAATTAACGATAAAGTGTTTAAGAGATCAGACCCCAAAATTTCACAAACCACGTGAAAGTGTGTAAATAATATAAGGAAATGTAAAAATAATATTATAATTTCCCCTGATGCTTTATGAACTCGGGTACCCTGATGCTTTATGAACTCAAATTCAAAAGTGTGTGTTGATGCTTTCTTTTTAAGTATTTTTAAGTACTTTTATTTATAATATATATTTTTTTATTCATGTAAAATATTTAATGTATTTTGTGTAACAAAAAATCTTGGAGTGTATGAACAAAAAAGAGCAATGAGTTAAATTTTTTTATTTTATTGTTTATCACATTTACTGATAAACATGAGCATGCCTGATATTTGAAATGTCATCAAAAATAAACATAAGTTAATCATTATGTAATCTTGGTATGTAATCATTGTTAATGTTAAAAAGTGTAAAAACCTTTTACCGTCTCAGCCTGAGTGAAAGTACATTCACACTTTGTTTGAATAGACATTTCTCAACAATCGAACTCTCTGCAGGTGGAGACATATGGATCAATGGAGAAGAAGGAGAAGGCTGAGTTCATTCTGGAGCAGATGAGGCTGTGCATTGCTGTCAAGGACTACATTAGAACACAGATCATTAGCAAAAAGATCAACACTAAATTCTTCCAGGAGGAGGGCTCTGAGGTTGTCATTCACTTTCTGAAGAAACTTCTGTTCTTGTCTTCTATTTTTTCTGATTTCTTGTCAGTTTATAATCTTTGTGGGAGGTGTGTTCAGTTTTTCCGTTTATATAACCATTAGATTTTTCTTTCATTCTTAGGATTTGAAACTGAAATATTACAATCTGATGATTCAAGTTGATCAGCACGAGGGCTCCTACCTGTCCATATGTAAACATTACAGAGCCATATATGACACTCCCTGTATCCTGGAAGATGCCTCCAAATGGCAGCAGGTACCTTTTTATTTGCATTGTAATTCTTGTCTTGCTTATTCTTTTTAGATTTGCTGTTTACCATAGTAATACAAAGAAACATCGTCACATTTGCAATTTAGTGCTTTTTAAAACTGACAATGTCTCGTGTATCTTTCAGGCTCTGAAGAGTGTGGTGCTCTATGTGATTTTGGCACCCTATGACAATGAACAGTCTGATTTAGTTCATAGAATCAGCATCGACAAAAAACTAGAGGAAATACCCAAATACAGGTAAGTGGGCCAAAACATACAGGGAGTTTCTGCAAGAGTTCAGGGATGCGGCTGGTTAATTGCTGAGTCACATGCATGTTAGGTAGACGAATATATCCCTCTCTTGCAGGGATCTCCTGAAACAATTCACAACCATGGAGCTGATGCGCTGGTCATCTGTGGTGGAGGATTATGGAAAGGAACTGAGGGAGGGTTCCATGGAAACTCCGGACACTGATGTCTTCACCTACTCCGAAGAGGGAGAAAAGAGATGGAAAGATCTGAAAAACAGAGTGGTAGAACATGTGAGTTGGTCTTATTTTTGCTGAAGTGGGAAGCCTAAATGTTTATATCTGTGTTTAGCCTGTCACTCTTTTAAAATAATTATTCACACCCAAATCTAAATGTTTATCTAATCTAATTATTATTGTTGTTTAAAACCCATGACTTCCATGGGACACAAATGGGTGATTATAAAGTGTTCTACTGGTTTGCTCTTGTCAATGCATTCACAAAGAAAATAGGCTTCCAGGCTTCATTATAGACACAACGTATCATACATTTGAACTAATGGACTCTATATAAGTCTTCTAAAGACATGCATCAAAATACTGGGATTTAATATAATATTATTATTTTAAGGTCTTTATTTCAATGTAATACATTTTTGGCGAGAAATAGAACTTGAAATGAACTAATCTAATTGTGTTTTTGAGGTTCTGATTTGAACTATGATTTGTGTTGTCAATTTCATTCCATTGCTAATTGATAACTGTCTGTCTCTCCATTACCAGAACATCAGAATAATGGCGAAGTATTACACAAGCATCACAATGGGGAGAATGGCAGCACTGCTTGACCTCACTATTGATGTGAGTTCTGTAATGAAATAATGTGTCTCATTATGTATCTCAAACTCATTTGATGCTTGTTGTTTTATTCTTCTTTATTTTTTTAATCGAGACTTTAATGTTTTTCCCCAATCTCTCTCTGTCAATAATAGCTCATCAAAATTTTTTACATTTCAACAAATGTAGTAGTATTCAGCTTAAATGTTTGTTCTTCTTGCAGGAATCAGAAGAGTTCTTATCTAACCTGGTGGTCAATAAAACCATCTATGCAAAAGTAGACCGCCTCGCTGGTATCATTAATTTCCAGCGGCCTAAGGACCCTAACGATCTTCTGAATGACTGGTCTCAAAAACTGAACTCTCTCATGTCTCTGGTCAACAAAACTACTCATCTCATTGCCAAGGAAGAGATGATCCACAACCTCCAGTAGTGCCTGTCAGGGAGTCCTTGGTACATTTCCCCCCCCCCTTTTTTCACCTTGAAACATTTGATTAAACGAATGTTAAATCAACTTTTGTTGTTAATGCTTCTGTTTAAATTCTGTTGTTGACAATGATGTGGCCTGCACTCAGACTGAGAACAATGTGAGTCTGTGGTTTCCATGACAAATTTTACACTGCACTTAAGATTTTCTTGTATGTTTTGTGTTTGTGACCTCTGGCTGTAGTTGATGTCCAGAAAAATATCACTCTAAACTCCACATGAAGCCTCCCAACGTCAGTGACACCCCACCCCCCTTTGTATTAAGTAAATGCCTTGTATTACATTTAAACATTATAGGAAAAAAATAATCATAATAATATTGGTATTCAGATGTTGCTCCAGCATCCACATTAAACTTTTTTGGAAATAATTCTGGGTTTGTTAATTTGCCATTCAGGGAAATTGCAGGCAACATGTACGGTTTGTTTATTATTATTATTATTATTATTATGGCAAATGATACTTTCTTGATTTACTTGATATACCTGTTGAGTTAAATTGTTTAAGCCATACAAATACATCTGCATTGTTTAAATTGGAAGGTTCAGTTTACATGGTTATAAAAATAAAACCTAAAAAAAAAAAAGTTCTTTATTGTTATTTTTAAATTCTGTATGGGTCATCTAAAAAAATTATAGGGATAAGATGGTCCCTACTGGGATAAGAAGCCCTCCTGGATAAACATTTGCATAACGTATAAATGACTTTTAGTTTTTATTATTCAATAATAAATATATATATATATATATATATATATATATATGTTCCATTAATGTAAAATACTAAATCAACTACTCTGTTTATTTCTTTCTTTTTTTTAATTTACACAATTTAGTGAAACAACCCGCGTTCATTTGGCGGATGAAACGAAAAAAGTTTGATTTGTGTTGTGTGGGGTTTTGAATATTCCTTCTGAGAAGCGGGTCATCGGAGCATGATAGACGCATTAAACACATTTTTACTGCTTTTGGGACAAACAGTGCATCAGGGTATTTTTTTTTTCAGGAAATGTATATGAATATATAGAAGAATGTAGAACCTTTTGATATACCGTAAACACTGTAACTGAAACGGTTTCATTTAATAAAATTCAGCATCACCTATGTTTGGAACAGGGATCAACAATGGGAGCTGCTATTGGATCAATCATTTTTCTGTAGATAATGACTATGACACAGACAGCTTGGAGTTTCTCCTCCGTGAGTTCTTTTTTTATTTTATAGTCAAAGAACAGTTCAAAGTGGTATTCCACCACTGGCGTGTATGAAGAACTAAAGAATTAAAGTAGTTTTATTTTTGTTACTGTATGGACCATTTGTTTCAACGTGTAATAATGTTGGCTAGTGTATGTGTATAATAGAATAATGGTTGCCTAAGGTGTCTGTGTGTTCCAGGAATAGTGTGGGAATCCAGTCTCTTCCCCATCCTGAGTACCATACTACTTCTCTTGGGGGGACTTTGTGTCGGGCTGGGCCAGATTTACAGCAGCAGAAATAACATTCTTCTGAGTGCAGGAATCCTATTTGTCTCGGCAGGTACAGCACATGCCATTAACAGTAACCTTAGCATTCAGCTAGTTCTAGTGTTTCAGAAGAGAATCACTGAGGAGTCTCCAATTGCAAATCATAAGTTTAATAATTAAGCATATACATTTATTTTTAATTAAAAACAGCATGATTGCCATACATGCATGTAATTACAGAAACAAGAAATGACAATGATATACGTTTTAAGATTTTAAGTTAATGAATTTTGCTTATTAAATTTTCTGCATATATGTTCTGCAAAAATATATTTGAAATAATGAATATCTATAACATGCATTTCTCAACTTGATTAATGATGTGCTCAATCAACTTAAAAACCCATTATGTTTGTGACATTAATTCACTTAAATTGCAAATTTTACAATGATGGACTTTAAAAAAAAAACAAACAAAAAAAACAATGTTGCATGATTGAAGCAGACATTATCAAAGAGCATTCTATGAGAATGTCCTGATTCTCAACTTGGAATTAAGAAAACATTCAGTCATGACTTGTCAACTAATTAGAAGCATATATATATATACACACAGTGGGTACGGAAAGTATTCAGACCCCCTTAAAATTTTCACTCTTTGTTATATTGCAGCCATTTGCTAAAATCATTTAAGTTAATTTTTTTTCCTCATTAATGTACACACAGCACCCCATATTGACAGACAAACACAGAATTGTTGACATTTTTGCAGATTTATTAAAAAAGAAAAACTGAAATATCACATGGTCCTAAGTATTCAGACCCTTTGCTCAGTATTTAGTAGAAGCACCCTTTTGATCGAATACAGCCATGAGTCTTTTTGGGAAAGATGCAACAAGTTTTTCACACCTGGATTTGGGGATCCTCTGCCATTCCTCCTTGCAGATCCTCTCCAGTTCTGTCAGGTTGGATGGAAAACGTTGGTGGACAGCCATTTTT